CCCCCCTCCCCCCATCAAAAAAATATATGTATCTTCCCTTTTTGAACTTTTCCTTCGGTTTAAAACTACTGTACAGAAGATAGGGAAATGGATAGAGTCCAGGTTTTGTAACCAAGGAGTTTGGAACTCGTCGAGCATGTACTGCTCTCTCTTTTGCCATTTTATGAACTGTTGAATTTTCTACTGAATTTATTGTATGTACATCAGAATTCCAGTAAATTGAAAGAGGAAGTTAACTCTCTCTCTCTCTCTCTCCTGCAATGCAATTTATATGTTTTTCAAAAAAGATGGGTTTCACATATTGTCATTGGATCAAGTTACCAAGCCTCTCCACTGTAATAACCTCGATTGGGTGATCAAGAGCATCATTTTCCGAGAGGTTTCACTTGAGTTGACAATCTATGTTAAATGTAAAAGATCTAGTTCAAGATATAATAATTTCAAGACATGGTTTCATAGAAGAGTTTAGATCAGCGCCCCACAGGACGCTCTCCACAACTCCCCGCTGCACATCCCAACCTTGTATTGGGAATATCTCCCAATGATAAATACAAGTTCAAATGAGCCCCCCACAAGACTGCTTCCCATAATGTCTCACAGCACATCTCTGCCGTGTATTATGAATATCTCCTGATGATGTCATCTTTAGGAGATGTTCCTAATACAGGTGGGGATGTGCTGTGGGACGTTATGAGGGGCAGTCTTCTGGGGGGCTGATTTGGTCTCCATAAATACAGAGAGATGCTCAAAATGCACATTGAGATGTGCATGTGGGGCGCTGATGTGATATACCTTTTACAATTTTCCTTTTGGGAATGGTGTATATTCTTGTCTTCTTGCCTTCCAAAACTCCAGTGAGTGACCAAGTTACCAAGCGAAAATGTACTTGTAAACCAACGATAATACTAGGAATGATCATCGGGAGATGTTCCCAATACACGGCAGGGATGTGCTGTTGGGGGCTGATTTGATTGAAAGTTAGAAGATGGTACTTGGTAGGAGGTCTGAATCCCTGCTTCAGGGATGTGGTACCGTAGCCCGTATTATTTCATGGACGCCAGGGGCATCACCCAGAGTGTTTATTGATAATGGCTATGAATCAAATAATCGATGCTCCTTGCTCATGAATCAAATATAACCGGTAGCGTTCTTGCAGCTTGGTTTGCAACTTGTAGACTACATTTTCTCCTCTTATATTTTAGATGACACTCGAAGAGTATTTATATCTTTTCAAATGTCATTTAATGACAGGTAATGGATTGACACATTTTGAAAGTTCAGATATTGAATTATCACATTTTAAAGTTCGGAGACCAAAGTGACACTAGACCCAAAGTATAGGATACTAATTGGGAATTTTCCCTTTGTCACTACAATTACAACTTAACAGCCACCCTCTAGTGAGACCGAATCAGCCACCCACAAAACTGTCCCCCACAATGGCCCACAACAAATCCCTGCCATGTATTGGGAACATCTCCCGATGATGACATCATMATTCTAGATATTATCATCAGAAGATGTTTCCAATACACGGCGAAGATGTGCTGTGGGACGTTGTGAGGGGCAGTCTTGTGGGGAGCTGATTTGAACTCCCCTCCAGTAATATCTGCTCTTATTCCTTTTGGTTCATTCTAGCCGAAAATTCTAAAAGCTAGGTTCAGACTTCAAACTTCACCTATTATCTGTATGGTATTCCCCAATCCTCATCACATACGTTTGCCAAACATATGTGATAGAAAATGTCTAAGTCCGGATCTGCTAGTAACAAAGACATGAGATTAATGTTGTTGAGGATGAATGACATAAAACTGTGATGCGCCTAGAGTTTCAAGAAAGTATAACAAATTAATAAAGGTAGCTTTTGGTAAATTTTTCTTGTTCTCTTTTATTTCTTTTTGTACCAATGACCTTTTTCACCAGGACGATTGTAATGATAATATTGGAAACAGTTTGGATGCCACTAATAAAACCTCCAGCCTTTCTCTTAGCATGCAGAAGACATTAAAGCTATATTTGGTAGTGCTTAAAAACAAGTGCTTATTCAAATAAACGTATTTGCATTTAGCACCCAACTTTTTCAGGTGCTTATTTTTTAAAATAAGCACTTATTTTATATTGGATGTTTGATAGTCTTTTTCTCTAATAAGTACTTAAATAAGCATTTATGACTATTTTGTCTTTTATTTTCTTTCAAATTTTCAAAATATACCCTTTGGAAGCACTTTTATTAAATTACTTGTATAAAAACACTTTTATGAAAGTATTTTAATAAAAACACTTATGAAATCACTTTTATAAAAGTACTTTTATGAAATTCAACTAGGGATAATTTTATAAGTGCTATTTTAAAATTCAAATAGGGATAATTTTGGAAGACAAAAATTGAATAAATGCTTATACAATAAGCACTTAAAAAAGATGAAAATTTGGACTTTAAAAATAAACCCTTATTTTTAAAATAAGTGTAGGTACATAGTGCTCGCTCAGACCATCAAAGTACAGAAGACACTAAACTGACATTACATGGACACTTGCGATGAGTCCATATCTCATCGGTTACCTGCGATGAGCTTATAACTCATTGAACGATTGCGATGGACGTTCGACGCATCACATGCCCGCGACAAACTTGCACTTGACACAAGTCAGAGTAAACACTAGCTAATGTGAACCTGCAATGAAGTCTAGATGTATGCGGTTCTGCGATAACCTTTGAATGTGTGCGGTTCTGCAATGAACTTTGGATATGCGCAATTTTGCAATGAGCCTGAGACCATTATAGAACCGTGGGTTATTGTGAACTGGAGATAAATATTGGTTACACGTGCAACTTCAGGATCACGTGCGTGATAATGTAGCATGTAGGTTTAGTAGAACATGCTTGTTGGATGATGACGTCACCAATGCCACGTCAGTTAAGTAGGTCACGAAAGGAAGTAGCACACATGGATTATGAGAATCCTCAGACAAAAGGAAAGTTAGTCTTTGAGAGATCTCATAAGACATGTGGCAAAACTCTAGTAGTGCCCCTTAATGACCGACAACGAATCTAATATTCACTTTCCTAATGGGAATCAAACTCTTTCAATGCCTTCCTTTCGAGACCTCGGGATCCCTCCTTATATATGAGAGTCCATCCCATGACGAGATCATTCATTCGAGTCATTCAATCTTCCTACCCTGCTCCCTTATCACTTCCATTTACCCTAATCTCCAAACCCTAAACCTGCACCTAGTCTTCCTTCGTCCTTCAAGAAGATCCCTGAATGTAGCTTGACCACCACACTTATAATAAGCACTTATATCGGGCTTATTTTCCAAATACCAATAAGTGCTTAATAGTCTGAATAAACAGTTATTTAAATAAACACTTTTTTTAAAACACTCCCAAACATGGCCTAACAAAACCAAAATGAGAGAAGCTTGGTTCACCGGCCATGACCACAAGAATAACTGGTACATCCTTTTTTTTGTCTTTTTAAGTCCCAAGGGAGTTTTCTTGTCTATTCATAAAACTCTATTCTTCTTTTATTCTCAAAATGGATTCACAGACATATAACGGACAAAGACTGTTAGACAAGGGACACTCTTGAAAATTTCTTCTTCTATGTGTTTCCTCCAATCAAGTAAAGCACTGCATCTACATGGAATGGGAAGTAATGGGTAATTTCCCCAAGGACAACTACCTAACCAATCAGAGGTTTTCTGAATGAGAGCAGACTTTATCCTAAAACCCCAACTAGCTATATAGGTGGGACCCACATATTAATTTGGACCACTTAGCTCTCTTGAAGAGAGGAAAAAAAGAAAAACCAAAATTCTCCCACTTGATCCAAACTAATATAAGATAATTTTATGGGTTTTAGGGAGTATTGGATGTATGACCATATAAAATCTTTTGTTCCACTCTAGTAGGTAAAGAACTGATGTTCAACCAAAAAGTCTAAAATCTCAATGCATGAGTCATGGTGGCAAACATCTTAGTGAATAAAGTATCACCTTCCATGCACTACAATGCCACTAATTCTCTCTAGTTGAACATTTTATGTGGTATAATATTTTATAAATAAACTGTCAAATGCCTACTCAGATCCAAACAAAGATAATTTGCCATCAATTATATCCTTATGTGTACAAACTTTAGAGAGACAACTATGTTAAGGATCATCATAACTATAAATTTCAATATCATCAGTTCAAATACAAGATTTGCTAATGAGTCCCATATTCTCTTTATACAATTTAGGTATCAACCCTTTTGACATGATATCCACTATCATTAGCTCAGTCTAACGTGTTCAATAGCTACTGGATGATCTTGAACACTTTCTCTAACAACAAAGGTATTTGATTTTGATATAGTTATTTTAACTTCCACTCTTGTTGTTTCTAGAGAAAAACTGCAGAAGAATTATTATGGTAGATTCTCAACAACCTTGAAATAGAATCAACAACTCTAAGCCACTGG